CATATTCAATGTGATCTATGTGATATATCAATTCATTCGCTTCAACATTTTTGCCAGTTGGAAAGAAAGTAGGCCCTTTTACACGAAAATTAAAATCATATTTTACATAGGTATACCTTCCATAATGTTAAAAAGATCTATCAAGAAATAAAATAAATAAGTAGATCATATTTTTTAGTTGAATATGAAAACTTGAAACTAGAATATTTTTGTCACTCACTGATCAAATACTGTTTTAGCCCCTTCTTTCATTTCAGAATTTGCTAATAAGAAATATTGTAGCATGTAGATTTATTAACTGTACGGAATGTATCTCCATTTAAAGAATCTTTACCAGCAAGTTATGGTAATATTTTTGAAAAATTATTAACCCTCTTTTAATATTGCGCCGATACTCATTAGTTTACCTTTTATTCAAAATTTTTCTGTTCAATGATGAAACATAGCTAAATTCTTATCGATACAAGGTGATTGCGAAATACATGCAAAAAAAAAATGGGGAATAGCTCACAATATGATTATGTCACTGGGTAAAATTCACGGTCCTAAGTAGTAGCAGTGTCTAGAAAAAATTATTTGAAATTAAATGTAAATTGTTGTACGCGCCGCTGGACTGTTTTGTGACCTACATAATTACTACAATGAATGGAACAGAGCGAGTCGGATTAAGAACCGAAAAAGTGACTTTATCAGGCACTTTTTTAATCGCAACGTGAAAAACACGAAAAGGGCCAGTTAGCATCGAGCGGTCGGTGAAATCGGTTTATGGTGGAGTTTTCCCATGCAGATTGTGTCGATATGGTAATTGGTGCATCAGTGGTACAGCATCTCCGAGATCATGGTACCTTCAACCTCAAACTCACGATCGTGGCCGTGATAGGACAGAAAGAAGAAGTTGGATTTTCATAGCTTGTAGTGCATCCTGCATTAAAAGAATACGGCCACATCCATACCATGTTGACAAAGTACAGGGTTTGGAGCCCGCTGATTGTCCACGTTGTGTAACTCACTTTTTGTCCGATCAAACTCCACATGCTCGTCAACAAGTACGATTGCAAGAGACGGTTTTCGATAAATGTGTATCGGTTGGATGAAACAGTTAGTTTGTGAAAATCAACAGTGTCCAGAAATTATCGAAGAGCTTCAACAACAAGTGAAAGTGGCAGCCGCTACTCCGGTCTTTTTTTACCTATCAACAAACCTCTTGCGACGCTCTGACGCCTGTATGGCTAGTCAAGGACAACATTTTCAACATTTCTTATAAAAAGGTAGTAACAATTTAAGTTGCTCTTATTTTTGTTCCAATACACAATGCAAAATCGTTGTGGCAAGGACCAAACATCCGTCAGAATCAAAAGTTGATCATCATGAAGCATTACCAAAAAATTTTCGCACTGACCTTTAACGATGAATGAATAAATGAATGAACGAATGATAAGCAGCAAAAAGTCGGTTTTACTTTTAATTGAAACTGAAAGTGTTTAGGTCGTTTTTATTCGAACGTTTTTCCAACTCTGTTTACAAGGTGGCTCAATGCCTTCCTATCGAGGGTGGTTCATGGGGGTTTTGCCCCATTCGAGTTTTAATTTGTTTTTTCTATATTTCGACTCTACTAGGGTGGGGGATGCCGTGGTTAAAATATTTGCACTTATTTCGCAGTCACCCTGTATAACTATATTATTCTAAATAATTAATAGCTGATTGATTAAAATTTTCGGGCACTGTTCGACCTTCACAGGCAAGACTTGACCCAGTAATTAAAAAGCAGATAATAAGGTAAATATTATGACATTAATATCTTGCCTTCTAATCCAATTCTAGGTTGCGTTTATAAGGTAAGTTTTTAATTACCGTTTAGATGAACTCATTTTCTCTAAGAAACTGCCAAGAAATTATTCTTCTCGTTAATTTATTTCTAATTCATTTAATTCACCAACATCGTATAAGTGTAATAATTGCCTATAAAACTTGTAAATTAATTAACATTTTTTAATTCTTCAAAACTCTTTTTATCTATTATCTAGGATTTCTATTACTTTAACACCAAGTCATAAACAAACTACTGACGGTAGAATAAAAACTGTTCTAAAGTCATTTAAACAAAACTTCCCTCCCCCCAAAAACATATGTATGGACTGTTAACATACTGGAGAATAAATGTGCTATGCGTATGTTTTAAGTGAGTTTGTCGTAACAAAATTTTGTGATAAAGTCATTAACATTTTAGCAAGGACACATATAACGGGTGTTCAATTGAAAAAGTCATCAAGTTGGGGTTGTTTTTTTGATAGAATAAAACGTAGTGAAAAACGCATGTGTTTTATTAACACATACTGTTGTATATAATTGATATGTCGTATTGTCAACTGTCATCGATTAAATTTATTGCTTTACAATGTTTAGGAAAAATCAAGGTCAACTTGATGACTTTTTCAACCGAACCTCCGATATCGATGTGAATAACTTAAACCATGTGCGAGATTTCAGAGCATTCAGTAGTAAATGTTGGTAAAATTTGTTTGCGAAATCTGGATGTTTAGGGCAAAAACTTAAGCCGGATTCATAAAACACAAATACAGTGCTGTTTTATTTTATAATATTTAAATAGCATTTGCTATGCAACATTTTGAGATGACGTCATGAAAGTACTGGTGGGGATAACTAGACAAAATTTGGTTAGCCGTTTTCGATCTATGCGATATTTTTAACATACTTCTTGTAGTCGCTAAATTTTTAAATTAAAATTTCGCGCCATGAACTGTAACAACATCGGAAGGGTGATCGTGCGCGATGAGCTGCGACTCTCCCCTTCGTCCTCCAGCCGTCGTAGAAGTATGATGTGTCGTAAATATATTTTAATAATTATAAGTCTTTAGATACAAATCCTGCACGCCCTGTATAATTCCGCTACAGCCTCCTACAAATTCAGAAGTGGGATTCGTCAAGGAAGAAATTGGTTTTTGAGGAAATAAGGCGAACAGCGGGAAGATCGCCACGTGTTATTTAGAGGTTATGTTTATGGTTGAAAATGTCCACGTTGGGGGAGATTCCCGAGATTCGGGACAACATTAAGTCAGCATCCGTAAACGCTGTGAAGGCTCTGCACAAAATTGTGTTCGAAGAAGACGCAGGTAGGCAGAACCGAGGAAACTTAAGAAAATTCCCTGGGTTCAACTTCGGTGTGGATTCTGACGAATTTAAGGACAAAGTTGCGTATGTGGAGCAAAACATACCGTTGGCTGATTTAATTGCGGCGTGCAATGTTATAAAATTGGACTACTCCGGTGAGAAACCAACGCTTATACGGCGCATTTGTATGGCTTTATCAAATTTGGAGAATTTAATTGCGGAAAACGAGGCTGATGACGCTGACGAGGATGAACAATCCGACCTTGAGGATGAAGTGGAAGAGGAAGACCAACAGGCCCCCGTAGCAGCGCCCCAAAGGTTCATTTTAAGTTTTAGGGATGTTGAAGACTCGCTGCGCACATTTGATGGGAAGAGTTCTTATCCGGTTGAGAGGTGGATTCAAGACTTTGAAGAGACTGCCCTTTTATTTGGATGGGATGACTTGCAAAAATTGATCTTTGCAAAGAAATCACTAAGAGGTTTGGCTAAGATTTATGTTCAAAGTGAGACAAATATTAGCACATGGGGAAAGTTAAAGAAAAAACTTAAGAGTGAGTTCGGAAAGAAGATAAATAGTGCTAAGTTGCATCAAATATTAAGGGAACGAAGTTTACGAAAGGATGAGGATGTCCACGAGTATTTTTTAAGTATGAGGGAGTTGGCTAGTCGAGGAAATGTAGAGGTTGAGGCACTTATTCAGTACATCATAGATGGGATTAATGATTCATTAACCAATAAAGTTGTTTTATATGGTGCCAGTACCTTGCACGAGTTCAAAAAGAAATTGGAGATCTATGAAACCATTAGAACAAAGACCACCCCACCAGTGACAAAAGTAAATAGAAGTGTGATGCCAACAGGACAGCGAAGCACATCAGCTGAAGGAAACAAATCATCGCCAAGAAAGTGTTAGAGTGACAATCACAACAAAAAGGCCCATCACGTGGGTTGCGCAGTAAAGCAAGTTACGTTGGTCGAGTCTATTCGTAGCTCTCGAGGGATGGAAACATAAGGCAGTAGCGCCGTTAATTTATTTTACTTTTGTACTGTCTTCGTGTGTGGTGTCAGCGTCTCGTGTCTTTTTGCTATTTCCTTGCGTTTCCTCGTTCTTTTTGCTTGTTTGTTTTAAAAAATCTGTCTTTTTCAAGACAATTTTGCTCTGAGTTTTATTGTTCTTAGTAAGTACCTACTCATAAATAAAATAAATAACATCAGTGTGGCGGCACAATAAGACGTCGGTAAGCAGAGAAAGATAAGTGGCCACGGGGTCTAGTGGTTAGGATGCTTGCCCGGAGAGCGTGAGGCGTGGGGTTCGATTCCCACCGAGGCACAACATTTTTCTCTGCTCACCTACAAGCAGCACTTTTAATTTATGTTTATTTAAAGAAAATATCGTATTTTTTTTAATTTCATTTACAGTAGTAGAAATGTTTGCTTCGAAAACCGGCAAAGGCAGGCTCTTGCGATCACAGACTAGAGAAGTAATAGCTAGAGTGATTGATTTTATGAAAAGAGAAGCTGAGGAGGGAATTACTATTCCGATAGCAAATTTTAGAGAGAGAGTTATGGTAGCCACAGGAATATCTAAAAATACATTTGTCAGCATTTCTAAAGAAAACAAAGTCGTTAAATCTGGAGACAAAGCATCGTTTACAACGCCTAAAAAAACAAAGCCACAACCACGAGTTACAAATATTGACCAAAATTTCGAACAAACTATTCGAAACATGTTTTATAACTTTCACGTGGTCGAGAAAAGGCGACCAACAATGCCTGGTAACATAGTATCTAGTTAAAAAAAAAAAAAAAACCAGACAGAAGGTCAGTTATGTTATTTTATTTTTATATTTTTATTGCGCATGCTTTTGGTGCTTTGAAATATTTGCCTACAACAAGAAAAGTAATAATGGGTAGTTTTGATTTTTACTAACCAGTTAGGCATGTTCAACTAACCTTTTGCAATACATGTTTTGAAAAATTATTATTACTACTAATTTTTAGCTTTTTTACAAAAAATTAAAGAATCTGGTCTTCCATTCAATGGTAGTGAATCATCACTTAAAAGATTACTTATGCGTATGGGGTTTCAGTAAGTAATTTATTTCTTAATAAATACTTTATACAATAAAAATATATATTGAAGATGGAAAAAAACTAAGGATAATAAAAAAATTTTGATGGAAAGACACGACGTGCGATTGCTACGGATTGAGTATTTAAAAAAACTTATGCAGTATCGTGCTGAAGGCAGAAACATTGTATACACCGACGAAACTTATATTCATGCATCGCATACAACCCCCTATGAATGGACAGATGGTAGTGATAAATTAATTCGCAAACCAATTGCCAAAGGAAAACGACTCATTATTGTTCATGCAGGAAACGAATCTGGCTTTGTAACGAATGGACTCTTGATATTTACGTCTGGTAAATTTCTTGCTTGTCATATACTACTGGTATATTATTTAATATTTTTATTATGATTATATAGGAAGCAAGTCTGGAGACTACCATGATGAAATGAACTGGGAAAATTTTCAAACGTGGCTACAGAACCAATTAATCCCGAATCTTCAAGATAATTCAGTTTTGGTGGTAGATAACGCGTCTTATCACAATATTAGGGACATACAAGAACCAACGTCGGCTACAAGAAAAGCAAATATGCTTTTATGGTTAGAGGAAAAAGAAATTCCAGTAGATCCGAATCTTACTAAGCCAGAACTTTACCAAGTTATAAAAGAATATAAAAGTAAACATCGCGTGTATAAATTAGATTTATTAATGGCACAACACGGTCACCAAGTGTTAAGACTACCACCATATCACCCAGAACTGAATCCCATTGAGAAGATATGGGCAAATGTAAAAAACTGGGTTGCTGGGCAAAATACTACTTTTAAATTAAAAGATGTTGAAACTTTGGCAAGAAAACGTTTTGCAGAAATTACGCCAGATAATTGGGCGGCTATTTGTAGTCATGTGGCAAAGACCGAAGATGACTATATAATTAGAGAGAGAATGTTGGATGAGGCTTTAGAAGAATTTGAATTTATGGTTAACACAGGGTCCTCTGATGAAAGTTTTGGGGAAACTTCCGATGAAGAAGACTTTTATACATATTCCCAGCAACCTTCTACATCAAAAACACATACCGATGATTTGGGTGTGACACCTTTAGATGATGATGAGTACAACTGAGATTAAGTTTCTATTTAATTTTATTCTCTGTTTTTTTAAATTATTATTTAAGTATTTGGCCACTTTGTATTTAATGGTATTAAGAATTTTGTTTAATAAGTTCCTCAGAGCATTTATTATTTTAATGACCTTTTTGATACACGTCGGTTACGCCACTGGTAATGGATAGGCGCGCATCTTAAGCTCCGCCCATGTCACCTTTCGTTCTGACGGCCGCTCTACAACTGCAATTTAAGTGGGCACATAGCAGCGCACTGCCCAAGGCCAAGGAGGGAAAAGGGCTCCTGTTATAAATGTGGAATACTGGGACATTTTTCAAACAAATGTCCATCGAAACCTGAAGTAGGACGTTCCACCACTTTTACCAATACAGAGCGTCCAGGACCATCAACTCTGCTGATTGAGGAAGTGGCACCAGCAGACTGCAGCATAGCCGTGAAATTGGATCCTTGGATTTGTCCATGGGAGTTAAATGGCGTCTTAGATTCAGGTAGTCCTATATCATTAATTAAAGACAGTTTTGTGCCAGTAATATTTAGGAAGGCGTACAGTTCTTGTATTAGTTATTCTGGTATAAATTCGTCTGTGGTAGATATTTTAGGGTTATATGAGGGCACTGTTCATTTTAATTCTATTCAGTTAAGTACTTTATTTCATATTGTCAGTCCTGAGACAATGAGGGCCGATTTGGTTTTGGGAAGAAATTTCTTGTTTCAACCTAATTTAGAGGTTAAATTTAATAACCAGCAGGTAATTTTGAATAAAATATCTGACGAACCACCATTTTTCAAACCTTCTGGCTCAAATGAATTACTGTTAATAGATCCAGATATTTTTAAAACCCCAGATGAAAACTTTATTGTTAATCCTGATGTGGACCCAGTCATAAATTTTAAACTGCATGACATTTTAAACCAGCACCTAGTAGCTAAAGAACCAGATATTCCTGCAATAGATTTTGAAGCCCAAATTATTGTAAAGTCTGAGCATACCCCATTTCATTTCCAACCAAGGCGTTTGTCATTTTTTGAAAGGGACAAGTTACAAGTTATACTTGATGATTTACTCAAACAGGGCATAATTAGAGAGAGCAACTCCCCGTATGCTTCTCCAATTGTTTTAGTTAAGAAAAAGTCCGGTCAATTACGATTATGTCTAGATTTTAGGGAGTTGAATAAACTAGTTGTTAGGGATCGATATCCTTTACCTTTGATCGACGATCAGTTAGATAGTTTAAAGAATAAAAAGTTCTTCACTAAATTAGACCTACAAAGCGCCTTCCATCATGTCAAGTTAACTGATGATTCGACAAAGTACACAGCGTTTGTCACACCTATGGGGCAGTACGAATATCTAAGAATGCCTTTCGGATTTTGTAATAGTCCTTCAATTTTTATGAGGTATATAAACAAAATTTTTCGTAGTCTTTTGAGTCAAAACAAGATCTCAATCTTTCTAGATGATATTTTAATTGCCACAGAATCAATTGAGGACAACATTGATATTTTGCAAGAAGTGTTGGCATTAGTTAAATTAAATAAGTTGAAGTTAAGGCTGGACAAGTGTTGTTTTTTGATGACGACGATAAATTACTTGGGTTACCAAGTATCTGCCGAGGGTATCTCGCCATGTAATGATCATATTGAGTCTGTATTTAGATTTCCGACACCAAAAAATCACAAAGATGTTCAGAGCTTTTTGGGATTAGTTAGTTATTTTAGAAGGTTTGTTAGAAGCTTTTCGGAAATAGCAAAACCGTTGACTGACTTAACAAGAAAAAATGTTGCATTTAATTTTGGTCAAGCTGAATTAGAATCCTTTGAAAGATTAAAAAATTCTCTAGTCTCCTGTCCATTACTAGCGATTTATTCACCAACAGCTGAAACTGAATTGCATTGCGATGCTAGTTCATTAGGCTATGGAGCAATATTGTTGCAAAAACAGCATGATCAAAAATTTCATCCTATTGCATTTTTCAGTAAACGCGCAACAACTCCCGAAAGTAAATATCACAGTTTTGAGTTAGAATGTTTATCTATTATTTATGCACTAAAACGATTTCATACGTATTTACATGGGATCAAGTTCAAAATAGTCACAGATTGTGATAGCCTTCGTTTAACGTTGTCAAAAAAAGATTTAAATCCTAGAATCGCCCGTTGGGCATTATGGTTACAAAATTACGACTATACCGTTGAACACCGTAATTCTGACCGGATGAAACACGTAGATGCCCTAAGTCGTAATCATATTTTAATACTTGAAGATAATACCCTTGAAACGACATTATCTCTTCAACAAATGCAGGACGGTAACATAATCAAAATTAGGAATTTGTTGGAAGAGCGAGAACACAAGAAATTTGAATTAAGAAACGGGTTAGTGTATTTTAAGGGATCTAACAAGCTACTATTTTATGTACCTCAAGCGATGGAGTATCAAGTTATTAGGATGTACCATGATGAGTTTGGTCATGTGGGGAGGGACAAGGTAGTCGAATTAATTACACGGTTTTACTGTTTTCCGAAGTTGAGGGATAAAGTTAAAAATTATATTTCCCATTGCTTAAAATGTATCGCGTACTCTCCTAACTCCGGGAAAAAGAAGGCTATCTTCATTCTATACCCAAAGGAAATATTCCGTTCGATACAATACACATTGACCATTATGGCCCTTTGGAAAAAACGCCAAGAGGTTACAAATATATTTTTGAAGTTGAAGATGGGTTCACTAAGTTTGTGAAGCTCTATCCCTGTAAAACGACTAATGTTAATGAAGTCATCAAACACTTAAATCACTACTTCGATTGTTATAGTAAGCCAATGCGGGTTGTCTCCGATAGAGGGTCTTGTTTTACTTCTGTTTCTTTAGCCGACTTTTTTCAAATAAATTCAGTGGAACACATTCAAATCGCTTCCGGGGCTCCAAGGGCAAATGGTCAAATGGAGAGATGTAATCGTGACATCACTCCTATCCTTGCAAAGATTACCCCATCCTTAAATAAATGGGATACAAAACTGCCCGATGTAGAATTTGCCATTAACAACACTGTTAATCGCAGTACGAAGGAAACCCCAAGTAAGTTATTGTTCGGACGAAATCAACGCGGCCCAGTTGATGACGCTTTAAGTCATTTCTTAAGTAATGAATTTGATGTGCGGTCTGACATTAATATGCTCCGAGCCAATGCCTCTCAGAACATACAAGTTAGCCAAAGTTACAATAAAGAACTTTATGATAAAAAGAGGAAACCTGCTCGACGGTATAAAGTTCATGACTTTGTTATGATTTCAAACACAGATGTCACGCCTGGTGTGAACAAAAAGTTGATTCCGAAATTTAGGGGACCATATGTAATTAGTGCTGTACTGCCTCACGATAGGTATTTCATAACAGATATTGAGGGTTTCCAGCATACGCAAATACCGTTTAAAGGGGTTTACGATTCTTCAAGGATGAAGCCTTGGTTAGGTAGTGATGTAAATTCAAGTTGTTCGCTAGATACGCAAGAGACCTAATAAGATTTGTTTTTGTTTATAAGTTCTTATATGTATTTTGTATGTATTTGTGGTTAGGTGGGATTATTTTATTGTAGCTTGTGTTATTTCGTCATGCCGATCTCAATTGTATGTAACTTATGGTCAGCTGTGGTATGTAAGTCTTATGTATGTATCCGCTAACTTTATTATGTTGTAGATTATGTGATTACGTCACTTAATATTATGTTAGTCAGCTGTATACACGTTAGGTGCTTTTATGTATTATTTGCTAACTTTTTATGTTTTATAGTTGTCATTTTTACGTATTTATGTCACATAGTTATGTTAGTCAGCTGTATACACCTTGTGTCTTAAAGCATATAATAGTAGACTATTTTTCCATTTTCCGTGAAATAACTTTATGTCTTGTACATATACTACATGTTTGTAACTTTAGTGTTAAGTTTATGATTCAGTTATTACGTAAAATTAGATTGGTTGTAACGGACGAGGTCGTCCTAAGTCAGAATGGCCGAACTGTAGTCGCTAAATTTTTAAATTTAAATTTCGCGCCATGAACTGTAACAACATCGGAAGGGTGATCGTGCGCGATGAGCTGCGACTCTCCCCTTCGTCCTCCAGCCGTCGTAGAAGTAAGATGTGTCGTAAATATATTTTAATAATTATAAGTCTTTAGATACAAATCCTGCACGCCCTGTATAATTCCGCTACAGCCTCCTACATTCTAAAATTTGACAACAATCGGTTTCGTACTTTCGGAAATTATCTCTCTAATAAAAATCGACTCAGGCGACGGATATAAGGCGGACGGGTGGCAGGTAGACAAATAGATGGAAACAAGAAACCTATTTTTTTCATACTCTAGGGGTCATTCAACGGCGAGAAATCATGAAATCATAAAAATAGCGTACAATGTGTAAGTAAAAATACAAGGTTTTTATAAATAATTCTAAGGGCGCAGTTGGCCATGGATTTCAAAAATCCCGCTTCGCTAAAATTATGCCTCATTATGACACTTCTAATTTGATATCGATGTTATTTGTAACCTGTCATTTAAAGTCATCGCTTTTATTGTTCTAACGTTTTTCAAGTGTGAATTACAGTAATTCTCCTTGATCCAAGCTCAAAACAACAAAATAGTCGTTTTCAAGACTCTTGGTGCTTGGGTACGAAAATTTCGTTTTTGTGCTAGGAAGCACCGTGAAAATAGTTTATTCTGTTGAACAAGACACTTTCATTGTTATGTCTTATTATCACATTTGGTAAACGGAGAGTGAAATTGAACAATGGGTCCAAAACATGACGAGAGGATGTTACAGAACATTTTTGAAAATAAGAAAAAATTATCGAACATGTGCCTTGAACAAATTGGTGAACATTTTCACCATTTACTGTGATGTCTAACCACAATAAATTTGTTAATTTTACGTGTGGTATTTGTCGTGTGTCCTTGGGCATTTAGTAAAATACACATAAAGGGAAGGCGGCACGCTTCCATGGCTCATTTCGATCCTATAATCATTAGAGATAGATAATAATATCGATTTAATTATTTTCAGTAACTGAAATAACACTTGCGAACAAAATAAAATTTGAAAATTACTTATACAAGAATATGAGTATACAAACAGAAAAAAAGATGGTTTATTATGAGACTGATGACACCATCGTCATACATATACAGCAAAAACCTCTGACTTTGTATATTGCTTTTTTTTCCGCTTCCAACAAATGATAGATCAAATGAAATCGTTGATGTAGTCTAAATAATATTTTAGAGAACAAAGATTATAACACAATATCATCGCATTACCAGAAATATCCAAACTAAAGAACTTAAAACAAAATAGAAACAGAACAATTTAACTTCGGACAGCTAGCTAGCCGACCAAATTTGGATACAATATCATTTGGGCAACTACTTATAATATTTCAATAGGATAAACAGTGATTTGTAGACGATATTCACATGTAAATGGAAGACCATAAAACTATAAATTTATGAGAAATGGGAAATCTATAGTTCATCGTAAAATAAATGATAAGTTTGAATTTAATTTTAGTGAAGACGAAGGATATGAATTATTACGATAAATGTTGTTTTAATCTCAATATTAGGTACCTCGTGAAGATTTAAAAAATATAACCAAATCATCAACAAAACGAATCCAGCGAAGCCTCATGGGAGAGTGGAATCCAAGAATTCATCATGAAATAAATTTACATTATCTGTCTGTTTTGTTCTCGTAGACCGTCTTGTTCATTGTTTCACACAACTTCGGTGAAATCTAGGGTTCTTTTATTAAGCAGTTCTTTTTTTTATATGTAAAGAAAAAAGAAATGAATCCAATTTATTCACCGGTAATGGAGCAACCTTAGTTGGCTGCAGGTTTTATATACATATAGAAAGAACTTTTAAGAGGGTGAAAATTAAGTAAGTTTTTTTTAATATTAATCTGCTCTGTACAGGTTGTTTAAAAAAAGGCTAAAGTATGATTTTAACCTACATATATGCTTTTGAAAAAAATTATGAAAATGTGACCCATTCTGTTGTTCCATAATAGAAAAAAACAAACTGATGCAAAATATGAGTGATTTTATGATAAATATGTAAATCATTATCATTTCGTCCTGTAAATGTTTATTATATACTTAAAATAGGAAACTTTTAACTAAAATATCAACTTGTCCCCGACAGATATACTTAATCGGCATTCATAATTTCTTAACACTTTTTGAAACCATTAAAATGTACAAGTAGTCGACCTAAAACGTAAAGAAGAAACTTAACGCCCGTGTAAAATGTCTTCGAGATATCTAGAGTGGAACGACGTCTGATTATCTAAAGGTAGATAATTCGTAGCCAGATGTTTGATTTCTGTTCCGACGTTCTCTTTCTTTTGATAATGAACTGAATCAATAATTACGTTATTTGAAAGCAAGCAGAGCGTTAAAATAACTACTTATGGATGGTTAATTACCTTCATGAGCATGAACAAAAATATCTGCAATGTAGATCGTATCACAGAGATAATCCAATGTCCACCAGAGCCATGGCACTGAATTGTTCAGTTCCCAAAACACAGCTCTTCCCAGAACAAAGATAACGTTGTAGAGCACAGCCAGAGATACAACCATCAGCCACTGCAACAAAGAGCGGTTATTTAAGTCAAAATTTGACAAATTCATTGTGAACACTACAGAAAAGGTACACACATGTTTACTAAAAACTTTTAACCACACATAAGGAAAAATGCTGGTAGTATTTATTCCTCATTAAGCTTTTCACTGTAGTTATTATTTTAATCAGATAATAGGTTTGTGGTTAACCCACATAATTTTGAATTCTCGTCAAGATTTACACAATCGAAAATATGCTAATTCGACAAATAACCCCTATGCAACAATAGGCTTCATATGCAAAGAAAGTATGTCAATACAATTTTGTTATCTACAATGTTATAAGTATTTAAATGATAAATGCAAACTAATTTGTGCATAGAAAATTATTACGAGTACATAGAATTTTTGTTATCTGCTTTAAATATGTATTAGTTTTTCCAAAGCTATCAGCTTCTTATTTTTTCTTTCATCGAAATATGCTATAGATAATTTGAAAATAATTAAACAATTCATGTCATAGAACTCTCTTATCTTTGTACCGTATAATAAAATTGTGCTTTGCCTTTTATGCAGGGATGTGGAAAGCATTGATTCCAACACCGCCAAAAGTTCAGAATTAGGACATTCATAAATCATAGATTTCCCTTTATGATATATTGCGGTATAGAATTAGCGAAGAGGAGAACAAAAATACTAAAGCTAATACTGATTTAGCATTAATAAATAATTTTGTTATCAAGAAATTTAAAGCCCAGTAGTAGAATAGTGTGTAAATAGAAATCAAAATTGTTTCCAAGATATAATAAAAACTAGACTAATAAACAAAATTGTCAAAAAAATACAGAAAACCAAGATCAAAAGTAAGGTATTAGTATTACTATTAGTCTTGAAAGGTAGTTAATAGACGTAGATCCAAATAAAAAGTAACGTAGTACACAGTTAGTTATTAAAAACTCATTTTTATTGTATACAAATGTAGTAAGTATTGTCTTTGCCATTTCTATTGAAACACCACCTGTTGATTTGCTTAAAATTTAGCAATTGGTAACAGCTTTCGGTTGATTGACAACGGCTTTTAATTCGAAAATTCTCTGAATATGAACGTTGCTAAATTTACGATTGACAGGTGGTGTTTCAATAGAAATGGCAAAGACTATAGTTGGAAATCACTTGTCCGTAAGGAAATATTGCACCGTTTCTGTTACTTTCTTAAAATAATTTAAATTCTGTATTTATTTGTCCCTTTTTTTTTAGCTAATTTGTAAATATTATGTGTCAACAGTGAATGGTTCTTTAATAAATAACAATAATAATTACTAGTTAAATTTTTAATTTTTAAAATGATTTTGCAATTTAAAAAAATAAAGATTTGCTTTGGGATATATAGAGGATGAGTCACTTAGTGTGCTTTTCGATATTTCATTAGTTATTGGAAATAGAAAAAAAACAAAAGGTGTACAGTTCTTTGAGGACCATATGTCAATAATATTTTCAACTACGTAGAGTGTTTTTAAGGCTTAACACACAACTTAGTTTTTCAAAAGGAATACCCTATATGTTTTTAACATTTTCCTAAATTGACCTCTTTTTAAGCTTATAACTATAGTAATTTTTGAAATTCCGATGTAACGTTGCCAGTTATTCCAATTTTCTTGAAATTTTTTAGCAATGAGAAGGTTCACAAAAAAATCGCAATAGTGTTATTTTTAAAATTTTGGTTACAATATTTTGTAGAGAGATAAATAAAGATACGTATTTTAGTATGGTATAAATAAAATTTGGTTTTAGTATGCAGAGTGCTCATAAAGAAATTTAAATTTTCACATATCGATATTTTAGTTTTCATTTTCTGTTGTTTGTCCTGTTTATTTTTTGTTAAGTATGCTTTATGTTTAAAATTAGGCTTTTTTACTTGTTGATGGGACACATCCAGAACAAAAAATAAAGTAAGGTGCAGTAATAAAATGGTATTCTATTAAAAAAAAACCTGAAATTTTCGTTTTTTATAATTAATGTAATTATATTTCTGTATATAAATAGTATATTATTGGCCAAGGTTGCAAGGCCAAGCATTCTAGACCGAGCGCAAATTAGAACCCGAGACGCGCAGCGTCGAGGGCTCTGAAGCGCGAGGTCTAGGAGTGGCTTTGCAACCGTGGTTAATATACAATTTTTTTCACTAGCAGAAACCATAAGACAATAAATTGAAAAAATAAACGTTCAATTTTTTGACGCAACATGATTTTGTTTTGATTTCTAATCAAACTTGATCTAAATCTTCAACACAAAGAAAACCGTTTACACTTGTCGCTGAATGAATCATTTTATCTTCTACCGTCCACCAACTACCATGCGTATACTCAAGTAATGTTAGTAGCACACATTTGTTCATTTTTAAAGAAATAATCACGTCAAACATTGCGTACATAACCTCAGTTTTTCTTTTTGAACCCGCAGTCGCAAAAGTTGAATTTGCTACCTCTAAATGAATCGACATTTGCATGCGTCATGGCTGCTAGTGAAAAAACTTTATTTAATTGATACCATAACAAAGTGCGTACCTCTGTTTTTTCTCTCCATAAAATATTGTAACACAAATCTTAAAAATAACATTATTGCAATTTTTTTTTTAATGGAAGAGGAGAATATTTTACGACTGGTGCATCGAGTGTCAGTGCGTATTTTTTGGGCATATTTTCTAAAGTAGTGTTTGCGTGAAAAATTTGAAAAGTCGACCGTGTGTGATTGATTAGTTCTGAAGATTACAGAAGGTTTGGGTTCATACCTGTGAAATGTAACACCTCCAGTTATACGATGAACGTGTTTTGTTACAATCTACATACGTATTTACCAATTTTAACAGTCGACCATGAGTAGTTCAGCTTCTTCTAATTATCATCTGCAATTTTCCAAGAAAGATCAAGCTCAGTGCAATCAACGACAACAAACTAACCGACTATGTTGTTGCTGTCAGCAACATAGTTTAACCAAAGAATGTTCTTTTTGCCTTTCGAACAATCGAATATGTATCTATCTCAAGGAAAAATCGTTAGTAGACGAGTTAGTTTCAAAACATCCGAATTTAACGATTAATAACCAAAAAGTTGGCATTGAGCGATTCATTACTCCAGCACAAAGGATCATCATGTCAAATGTTTCTCTCAGTATTCCCCATGATATCATTCTTTCCTTAATTAAGGGTCTTGGATACAAACCTGTTTCTCCCCTGCCTTATTTACTTACTTTACGGTTTTCTTTGTGTTGAAGATTTAGATCAAGTTTGATTAGAAATCAAAACAAAATCATGTTGCGTCACACTACATTTTCCTCCTTGGTATTAAAATATGAAGAAACTAGCTATCAGATTTTCCTAACATATGATTACCAAGCTTGTCTTAAATGTCGTCAGACCGGTCATATAGCCAGTCAGTGTACAATCCAATAACAAGTTTCCTCGAAGCCTGATCCGCTGACTAAACCCATTGATGCTGCTACCACTGATGATGCTGACACCCGACACCCGACACAACATCCGACAATATGGTTACAGAAACTATGATATTCAATACTAGTAACAATGCTCTTGATGCTGCCACACATAAAAGATCCAACCCCTTCGACGATTTACCTGTAAATGAGCCCTCACTTCAAGAGGTGGTATAATATGACTCCTTTAATTGAGCCTTAAACAAAGTTGTGCCCAACGATTCGACTGGAAGTTTTACTGGCACTCTGGATTTACTGGAACCGGTGTAAGTTTTATGTAACGAAGCTGACCCTTTCTTCCCTCTCTGTCCTTGTCATCTCTGGATCGAAATGATTAATTATTATATTCACCTCAATTACTCATGTAACTTCTTCTTTATTCTTATGTCCACTAATCTATATCAATATTGCTTCCTTGAAACTGTTATGGCAGTGAATAAACCTTCTTTTGTGATGGTTACTGAAACGTGGCTTACTTCAGATTTACCGGATTCAGGATACAGTCTTTTTAGGAGAGATCGTCAATCTATAAGAGGAGGAGGATGAGTCTGCATATAAGTATCCGATTTTGTAATGTCTAATTTCACAGTCTCTATTGTGATATTGACACTTCGAACATCGTGAAAATAGCGGAAAAATCATCATCAGTTGTTCTTGATTGTGCATATCGAGCCCCATCTAGTGATTTTGATATTGATTTAAATTTATTTAATGCGCTGACCGCCTTAGCTAATGACCAAAACAATGTTCTCATTTGTGGATATTTTAATGTTCCTGAGCTGAATTGGCCGCTAGAGTGTTCTGGATCGTTAAACCGATCTTCGCAGTTGCTGGTAGATTTGATTAGCGACTTTCATTTGTATCAAATGGTATTGGGGCCAACCAGATATAGAAAAAACCAGTGCCCTTCTGTGCTAGATCTAGTTCTCTCCTATAACCCTGACTTAATTGCTAATCTAGAATATTCTAGCCCAATTGGTAAACAACGATGTGACAATTCTAGTGAGTCTTTAGATCAGCATACAGGCTACAAATTAATTATCAAATGTTAGAGAAAGATCTGCTTGAAGTTGACTGGGCATCAACTCTTAAGTACAGTACTATTTCTGAAAATTGAGGAGCGTTTAAATCCCAGCTTCAAGAACTAACCCTCCTCAACTCTATCCCTAGAGTATTTATGAAATCCACCAAAAATCCTTGGATTAATGATGAATTGGTTAAAAGGATCCGTATCAAAAGAAATTTGTGGCGCTCCGTCAAATGTATTAGTAATGTGGTAGATTATGCTCCTCACCGAACTTTTTCAAATTAAGGTAGTTAGCTTCGAAAAAATTAAAAGCGCTAAATCCTCATAGGAAGCTCAACTTGCTCCAAATAAAAACCCTAAGTCTTTTTACAAATACATTCGTGACAGTCTCAGAGGATCAGTTCGAAAACCGCAGTTGAGAGATTCCATTGGCGCATTAATTCCATATGTGCATTAATTCCATATAATGACAAAACTGCAAATATTTTTGCAGATACTTTTGCTGAAA